CAAATTCGTTCAGATCATTCATTATATCCGGTATGACTTCATACATATTACGGAAGGCAGTCTATATAGCTATCTAAAAATGAATTATTTTATTTGCTAAAAATGATTTAATTGTTTACCCAATGTTAGAACAAAATAAATATAAAATCTTTAATTTGGGGATTTTGTATTATATAAAATTCCATTGATGTTTATAAATGGACTAACTATGTTGTTGGTATAAATTGAGTAGGTAGCTTTAATTTTTAATTTTTATGTTCAATATGTGCTATAGGTAACTAGGAGAGGTAGCATAAATCACAATATCAGAGCTCGATAAATTCTCCCATTTGATTATATTATCTGATAGTGGGGACCTTCCAATTTATTATATTTATAGTGGTTTTAATTATAGCTTAAATATTTACTCGACTAACATCGATTACAGTATATTTATATATAACTAAAGACGCATCAAGTCACAATGTAATATCCTAACATCTTAAATAGAGTCTTATTAGTTATTATACAACTATATAATATAAGTAAGTATTCTGTTATATTATTAATGATATCATTTCATATAATCTTACCTCAGAACATAATATCATAACATATATTTGTTAACACGGACGGTCGGACGGACAAATTAAAAACTGTAAAACTATAATTTATACTTTATATAATTATTTACATTTTACATAAACTATTTTTTTTTATGTATCTAACTGATTATATTATATTTACTATTAATATTAAAATGTCAAATGTATCAATTTTACTACACAAATGTGACATTTCTAAAGTTATTTAGAGTATACTTTTTAATATACTAATGATATATTACATTATGCTTAACAAATTTCCTTTACATCAGAAAGGAACAATCGGGCCATAAATATTAAGTTGATAAAAAAAAATAGTGCCTGTTTGTTTAAAATAGATACCAACTCCAATATGATGTACAGAAGACCTAGTCACCTGACTTTTCTCTTTTTAATTTGTTTATAACACTTTTATAAAACGTAGATTACTTTTTTGTATTACATATTGGACAACAAAGTGTTGAACTAATTAAACTATATACCATCAATCACATAATAATATCAAATAGAAAATGTACAGACTAATTGATTAAATAATTTAATTAAGTAATTTAATATAAGTAAGGCTTTTTTTTTAAATTTAAATATGTGAAAGTTTAGTATTTAAAACTGCAGTTGTTTAATCCTTTTTTTAAATTACATATAGTTATCTACAATAGATTTATACAGCTCATAGTTTTGATTTAATGATCATTATTAACAGTTGAATATTTGATTAAATTACTTATTTTAAGTGTTATTCAATTTGTGTGTAGGTACTAGGTATCTACTATAAACTATTACAGACATAATTACTAATTAAGACCTATACTAATGATAATTTTAAAGATATACACAATTATGTCAAAAAACACATTGAATATTATTTTTGTATAATTTTAATAAATCACGCAAGACATTATTAAAAAAAAATTTTTTTTTAGTATTTTACTAATTATTATCATTCTTCAATTTTGATTTTTTAGCAATATGCATTTTAAATTTCGTGTTCTAAAACTGAATATTTTTCTGAGAATTATTTGTATACAAATTATTGAATATCAACGATTACTTATCTTTCGGTGGTATCCGTGTTACTACTACTATACTCCAAGTTCCAACTATCTAAACTTTAAATCCTTTTTACTTATTATTTACCTTTTCAAAATTCGATTTTTACGTTTCAAACTTCACTTAAAAATATTCATCTTAGAATTTAAAAATATAAAACTAATATTGTGTGTTGTCATTAAAAAAAACGATAACGATCAAAAATAGAAAAATACATTTTTTTTCTTCAAAAATGTTTATTTTGTATTTTGTAATGAATAAAAATTATGTAAAAAAGATATTCTCAAAAACTTGATGTTTTATACTGAGATAATACTAGTGGTTAATGATAAATTAATCATCCTGTATACAATGCATAACGTCATTGGGGGATAGGCAACTTACATGAAATTTTACCATAGTTCAGTAATCACCCTCAGAATTTTGATTTTAATTTATAACTCCTAAATACCCTTTGTTAAAGATAACCCTCCTTATACACTAAAGGTAGGTAAATTGTTCATTTTCCCTGTACATTTGGATATAAGTACTGAAATAACACCACTTCGGATAGCATATTAAACTGTGTTAGTCTTAAGTAATTTCAATCATTTAATTTATCAATACTAATAATTACAATATTTTATTACACAATAATTATTATGGTGTAATGATACATTTCAATTTTCAATCGCCTTGGTTGTTTAATGAAACAATAAATAACGCCTATATTGTTTGTTAAAGTGATATAATTTTGTTATAATTTGCAGCGTAAGAAAATCTGAACATTTTTAGCCATATAAAACAGCATTAAAAATATAAAACAACTTTTATGGGACGTTTACTCTTTAAAATGGTTTTTTCTGTATTAGGATAGAAGCTTAAACCGGATATTATACGTTACGGCAGTGATATTTTTTCTAGTCTTATTTTTTATTTTTAATAAAAGTCACAATATGTTCCAGTATAAATGACACACTATCACAATAATAATTATATTGTCAATAAGAAATGTTGACTGAAAATATAAATGTATTGTATATGTATGTGTATATGCTAATCGCTAATGCTGAAAACTTTTGTTCGACCGATGAAATGCTGAACGCTTTAATGATAAAATCGTTAAAATGTACTTTTTAGAAAGGATAAAAATAATATCTACTCCATCAGTTCGAAAAATATATACATTATAGTATTGTATACATATTATATATACACAGCAGGAAATTGTTTAATATAAATTATATAGTTCTTCGAAAAGGGGGAGAATAATTTAAATGTTGAGATTAAAAACAACCTCATCTGGGCAGGTGTATTTAATTAAGTCCAAAATAACTTGATTTAAAAAAAATGCCAGACGAGCATTTCAGTTGTACACTGTAGGGTTTTGGATTTAACAGTGATTATTAAAAGCTCACCAAAATGTAATTAATTCTCGTGCTCTGGCAGCAGCACAGTTATCCAGACATAAATTATTTTATATAAAAATAAAAATAAAAATATGAAATCTGTTTTTTTACAATTCCTCTCACGTAAAGAAACGTATCTCTTGCCTCAGGGGATATGGGATAAGACATCAGAAATTCATAACAAAAATAATTAATAAATGCGGGAAGTTTGCACGTGAAATTATTAAGTTTAATAATATGCAATAACGTGTTTATAAAACGAATTAATTAAACCCAAGTCATTCGGCTCCTCTCTAGACATGTCCTCATAGGTAAATTTAATGTATTTATTATTTTTGAATTAGAACTTTTAGGTATCAAATGTATATTTGTATTACAACCATTAAAATACACAATTTACAATATACATATTATAATATACTTATGTTGTTTTGAGAATAATGTAAATTGTTTATTCATATGATAATAAGCTCTATTATGTTAGAATATATCTTATAAACGCAACATTTTAATATATATTTCCCTTGTGCTGGGACAGCGTAAAAATGATCATGCCAATGCCCGACTATGGATTAACTGTAGCTTTAATCTACCCAGAGGTTATAAATGGTATCTTTATTTACGTGTAATACAACACGCTTAAGCTATGGAATATCCACTCCTTTTAGGCATTTTTTTATATCATTTTTAACATTATTATACGCGACAGTCTGACTCTAAGTAGTCAATTAAGTTAGAATATTTAATTTCAAAGACCAGAGTGATATTATTTGATTTTCGAGAAAATTGTGGCAAAGTCAAAGGAAAGAATACGAACTAAAAAAAAAATCGTATAATATTTCTTTATTGCTAAGAAACTGACTCTAGAATCCAAATACAAAAGAAATATTATCATCACATTTAAATGATACGAAATAGGAGCAAGCAATTATTTTCAAAAAACAAATTCTTATACACCGTGCAACTCCATTAAATGTATATTTGACTTTTAATACTTAAACAAGAAGAACCTAATTTACTCATTTACGTTAAATATTAAAATAACTTAAATAACTTGCCAAACTTGCATAAGCCACTCTGTACATGTATTTTATTTTTTAAGAATACATAAATACAATTTTAGTTTCGTGAAGAAAAATAATATAAATTTAAATTATTCAATTGTGAACTTAAATATATTTAATACGACTTTTACATACTAATGGAGCGTTTGATAAAAACAATTTACATTATTCATAAAAACGAATGGATAATTTTCCAAACTCAATTTATTTTTTATTTTGTTATCATTCAGACTTGGAATTGAAAAACAGTTACTTATTCATGTACCTAAAAATGTCCATAAATAATTTTTATAATTTGTCGATTATTAAAATGGCAATGACGTCAATGCGCGTAAATTATAAAAACAATTATTTGTAGGAAATTAGTTTTTGGCTTCTGTGTTCAGATATTCTAAAGCATATTATATACATATTTTTCGACATGATTTTAATTTTATTCTTAATTTAAGTTTCCGAAGAATCCATACAAGATATAAAACTAAAATTGTACAAAACTAGTTTAATGTATAGAAGTTATTCATTAAACATCGAAAAGGCTTCAAATAAAATCTTTATTTTGTTCTAAAAATCAATTTTATATTTACATTCAATAAGAAAAATGTATTTATGAATACAACTGTACAAATTTATTTATGCTATGAATATTTGTAGCTTTTAAAGAAATAAATGTTATCAAAATTCTTTAAGAAAACTATCATTTATACTTGCTTACTATTATAGTATGTTTATTGTGTAACAATTTTTTTTTTTGTTCACTCTATAGCGCACTACTGTTATTTAATATGCATCTATAAGCAAGTGTAAATTAAACCGTTGTATTATTACTCTAATATAATATTCATGTAAATGTCCAATCAACGAATAAAAGTAAAAATATAATTATATAAAATGGAATAAAAAAAATTAAGACTTACTTGCGATTACGATTGCACGATCCACAGAAAAATCCAACAAGTGGCGAATTCTCGGCTGAACGTCCGGGCTGCAACTATACCGTTCTCTTGAACAGGTGGCAACCTACGACCCGCCCATCCACCCACATGAAAACACAACAATATGACCTGACGTCACACTTCGGCGCCGACGACAAACTCGATAATAACGAATTTGTGTGTTTACACGCCTCGAGATGTGTGTGCGTGTACTTTTTTCGCCCTCATAATTTCAAATGTACTACGTATATGTACGATGTGTCGTTGTGACGATGCATGTTCACTGAACTGTACTTTATAGGTATAATGTATAAAAAATGAAAATGATTATTTTATTATCGATCGTTATTGTCAAAAGACTTATATGACAGTTGGTCCAGTTGGATGTATGATTCTATTTGAATTTGTTTTACAGTTTTTAAAATAATAATATAATGCACACGTACCTATCGTTTGATATTTTATTCTATATTGTAGAACTTTGGAATTTGTTCATGCACACAATTTAGTAGGATGTATTAATAATAATAACCTTTAATAACAATTATTGCAACTTACAAATTGTCAGTAAAAACTGTTTAAAATATCTACTAACATATTATAAACAAATTATAAATAATATTTTAAGTGTATATTATTTTGATCTAAATTTATTATTTCAATCATATTATTATTGATTTATTATGAAGAGTCGCTTGAGTTAACGATTAAATACCAGGAATATTTATAATTGTTCAATTCAACTTACAACTTATTACTGTAATTCTTTAGACAGTATCTATCTTAATATCTTATAAGTAATTCCCTAAGTTGATAAGTAATAAAATAAATCGTATTATATTGTTTGGAGATAGAAAGAGTACCAGAAAGATCACCAATGTAGGATTAATTTTTGTAACAAATAATTTATTAAATCGTATGACTACCTGTTCAGTGGCGGATTCAGGATTTAATTTTTTTTTTTTGGGGGGGGGGGGGCACAGTCCTAAACGCAAATCTGAAATCTTAAATTCTTATTTTTTTTTTTTATTTATTAAAGATTATATTTAAATTATTATAATATTGTAAGAAGTTTAAAGGTATATTATGACGACCACAGAAAATAATTGTTTTAACTATAGGAATTAACTTCTTTTTATTTTCTTTGACAGTTTCATTTAGTTGGTCATCTAGTTGAATTTCTATTGTTTTGTTTGCCTTCAAAACATTTTATGAATTCTGAAGACCGCACAATTGCTATTTTATGATATTCTCTTTCCATATGTATCTTAAAATCTTGTAAAGCATCTTTGTGTTTTATCATAGGAATTTCTTTTAAAATCCCAAGTCGTTGTACTTCAACCCCACCAAACTTGGGTCCAAAAAGTATACATACTTTAAAAAACGCTCCTTTTCCATTGCGAATATAAGCTAACCAGTTGTGCTTATTTAGCCATTCAATTTGAAAGCTTCTTTTATGACCTTTTTTATTCATACTTACAGGGAAAATATCATTTTGTCTAGATGACCACGTTTCTTTTAAATGTGTGTAAAGCATATTTCGTTTGTTGCAAATTTTTAGATTTGAATTTTCTTCAATAGCAAATGATATTAACTGTTAAAATCGACTACATACGAATCAGAAAATGCAGGTGGCTCTGACTCTGGTGGTAACACGATTACATTTTCCATACCTTCATTCCGAGATGGAATATTTTCATCACTTGTTTTCAACTTTAAAAAAAAAATTTTATTTCAATTTGTCGCTTTTGTGGCATTTGAAACAAAACAATTCAACACGAAGCTACAAACGAAAACCACGGACAACAGTATGAATTATAACACCGACCGTGACATTACTAACATTTTAAATACCATTATAATACCAATGTAAGCTATGGAATATGGGTTAAATCTATATTATAATTGGGTGACAAATAAATTAGGATAAGATAGCGATGGCTAGTGGGAAAGTTACACGGCAGAAATAGGCGATCTGCGTTAACGCGAATAGTCTTTATAGTCGCATAATAAAAGTAATGTGTTTGGGAGAATTTCTTATACAATGTGTTTGAACTAAACAATATAAATGATAAAATTGTAAAAATTAAAATAAACACTATTGAATTAATAAAACTTAACTTATGCCAATGGGGGGGAGGCCCTTCGGCCCCCCCTTAAATCCACCACTGTACCTGTTTACAATGTTGGCTCTAAGTTTTTATATTTACATGTCTATCTAACCCCTAACTCATTATTATTCTGATTAATCGAAAATTATTATTTACTTGGTACTCAAATAGTAATTAAATTATATACAAATTGGGTCTGATTCACTTAATGCTCACGAAGCGTGACCATCCTCATGGTTCCTTTAATAATAATTTTTTTCAAATTCTGATTTTTAGAATTTTTAAGTGTACTTAAACACCATATTTTCAATATTTATAATATTTATTCCATTTAAAGATTATGAGAGATCCCTTTACTCATGTTCCAATGAAAATGCCAATTTATAAAAGTGAGAACCTACTTTGTTTTACCGTAAATTGTTAAGCATATTTTTTTTTATGTAATAAATAAAGTAAAATTCGAACGAGTAACTTCTGAATTATTAAAATGCTACATACATTATAAATTTAATAATATGATAATAAATTGTCCATTTTAATAGGTTTAAAGATATGAATGCTATGGTTATTTGAATATTATAATTTATAGTATCTGTCTGGGTATTAATTAATACAAAAATATTATAATTTAAATATTTGTAAAATACCTTTGTCAGAAAATAATAGTATGTATTTTTTTACTGGACTGGATATTACTTCTATTTTATATTTGATCTAAACCCATTAATAAGGATTATTATCATTGTCTTATCGTAGTTTCAGAACATAAAGTTTATTAATTCAGAATAAACTACCCATTTAAATTTTGATTAAGATGCATCAACATTTTCAAAAAAAAATCATCGCCTTATAACAATATTAACAGTAAAATAAAGTGTTGTCCTCATTTGAAAAAAAAAGGATTTGTATCACCTCGGGATACTCTTAAAATGATATTTAAAGATTTAAGAATTTAAAAATATAGCCTTTAAACATGCTTGATTAAAAGTTACAAAAGTCAAAATTTCAGTAGTACTTATATGTATATATGTGCAGTTAAATATAAGGTGATTGAGCATACTTGGGGAATCCCCCTATAAAATTGTTTTGACTATAATATATTACATTAATAGCTACTATACATTACTAGGGAAAATTCAACTACTTATACCTTCATATTCAGTTATTTGTAAAAATTATATAATATTATAACTTATAAGTTGTAATCGATTAATTAATTCATCAACTATAATTAAATTATGTTAAAGATTTTAATTGAAAATAATCATAATCAATTGTCAATTAAGAAATCTTATATCTCTCATAATATTTGTACTACATCGTATAAAAGCATCTATGGCCCGCCCAATTTTGATATTTTTTAATTTTACAACAACGGAAATTCATACGAGGTACAGATATGATACAATTGAATAAAAATCAAACGTTAAACACATCAAACTTCGATTATATCGGCACAAAATTATGGAATATTACAATTTAATTACTTTTATAAGTTTGAAAGCAATGATGTATCATTAAACTTAAAATTCCGTGTCTCAGACTGGATTAGTTTATACGCTGCACTCGTGGTATATTTAATAATATTCAGAATTTACAGGTTTTTGATATTTATTTTTCCATTCATCGGAGTGGGAGAACATTCTTTAAGATAATTGAAATACAACTTGTTGAAACTTTAACCTATGTATAAGCTCAACTTTGAATAGACATGACATTTCGATGACATTTCTAGATCAATAAAAAACGATATAAGCTTTACAGGATGATCCATCTGTCGTTAGACATTGAGTATTCCAGAAAACAATAAAATTTTTGAAAATATACATTTTATATAATTTTAATTCGTTATACGACAATGAGTTTTAATGAGTGTAGTAATGGACCAATATTGTGAAGAATATCTTTCTTCCTCTCCATTCTGCTCATCAGAATTTTAAATACTTAAAATTGATAACTATTATGATACTACCAACTACTAGACCGAAATTCTCCGAAAAATATTCTTCTTTCTTTAGAAGTTTAGAATAAGGAATGAAAAATACACATTGTCATTAATAAAAGATTAAAAAAATGTATAAAAATATTGTCTTTTCACGAATGTTAAATGTAACGAATAAATGAGTATTATTTAGTTTGTACATATATAGATAGCACTTGCAAGAATTTTTAATTATTTTTTTACTATAAAAATATCTGTTTTGATCAACAAACCATTATTAACTAAGCGGAAAGAGCTTATAATAAGTCTTAAAGTCAACCCACGTAATCCGCATCTCTACCAAGTGATCCAAAAGATACATTTTACTTTTTTGAACGTTTATTGTCTTATCTTCAAATTAAACTAAACTACTGAGTTTTTTATAGGAAAAAGTATAGGTTAGTGGTCACTATCATAGAGTATTATAACTCTTGTTTCCTTTATTTCTCGGACAAAATAAATCTTGAATTGTTCAATTATATATTTTCATCTATACATCCTTAATCGATTCATTGTATTTTATTACTATAGCTGTATACTTATATAAATAATATAATATCGAGTATTGGGTACGGCACCCATTTTGCGTATGTCCACTCTTCTAATTATAATTTGACGACTGAAATTTAAACATATAGTTTTTATGAAATAATGTTGGATTTTAATAGCATTAGGTTTTTATTAAAAATAAAAATGAGCTTCTCGTTCTTAAACCACCAGGGCATGCATGTAGCTAAATTGCATAGCTAATACGCCGTCTTACATTTTAAGTTCTTCACAATAAAAACGTAATCCACAGTTGGCGACACTGTTCATTAATTCTAGGTTATGTTGATAAAACATTTCATTTGAAATACCACTGTTTACAAATAATTACAATGTTTACAATTCGCATAAAAAAAAATTAAAAATCCTGCAAAGTATAGTACGTTTGAGTTACCGGTTTTCAAGTACATACATGTGAATAGTCTTGTGTCTATTTATACAGTTTAATTGTTTCTTAATGTTATACATGTAATTGAATGCCAGGTGAGTAATTCTAGTTCCGTCATGCATACTTTAGCGTACAAACACAGTAATGCTCATGATGATAGTATTTGGGCATGCGATTGGGGTGAATTGCGAACTACAAAAACCATAGATCGAGACGATTTAGATAAAGGTGATGAATCTGACGAAGAAGTTCAAGAACTTTCGTCAGATTGTATAGTTACTGGTTCCATTGATGAAACTGTGAAAATATGGAATTATGATAAGGCGACCAATCTCAATCTTGACAAAACGCTTAGTGAACACACACTAGGTGTGATATCTGTTGCACTGAATTCAGATGCATCGATAATTGCATCCAGTGCATTAGATTCCACGTTAATGTTATGGAACACTACGACAGGAGAAAAAATAAAAACATTCTCGATTGGACCTGTTGAATTGTGGACTATTGCATTTTCACCAGATGACAACTACATTATTTCTGGAAGTCATTCTGGTAAAATTAATTTGTTTGGCGTTGAAACAGGAAAACAGGAACAAACATTTGACACTAGAGGTATTTTAATGAACCTAAATTATAAATGTAAAATTAATTTACTTTTTTTTATTTAATAGGAAAATTTACATTGAGCATAGCTTATAGTCCAGATGGTAAATACATAGCTTGTGGTGCTTTAGATGGCATCATTAATGTCTTTGATGTTTTGTCCGGCAAACTTACTCACACACTTGAAGGACATGCTATGCCAATTCGATCATTGTGCTTTTCATCAGATTCAAAATACTTATTAACGGGAGCAGATGATGGTCAGATGAAAATCTATGCAGTTCATCATGCTGAAGTATTGGGAACCGTATCTGGTCATGGTTCATGGGTACTGAGTGTAGACTTTTCTCCAGACTGTAAAAGCTTTGTTTCGGGCAGTGCTGACAATACGGTTAAAGTCTGGGATGTAGCCAACCGTAGTTGTTTAAATACATTAAAAGAACATAAAGACAAAGTATGGTGTGTGAAATATAACTCAACTGGAGATAAAATGGTGTCAGTATCTGAAGATGCATCAATTAATATATATTCATCACTTTAATTATCTAACTAACTTCCTGTGTATATAATACTAAATAATCGTTTTTGTATTGATGTACATAATATATTATAAACAATACACACCTATTTCAATTTTTGTCAGTGTAAAAATTGTAGTTAAATTTAGATCAATAAGAGTTAACACAATTGCCTTATATCCTTCGTTTTGTTTTTTTTTTTAAATCAACAAAAGAGTTAGTAAATTTTACTTGATATAATCCTAAAATATGTATTAAATGGAAACTTCTGTTTTCTTATTTAAAATTGCCCTATAATATTTGAGAATTTGTATCCATTAAACATCAAAAAGCTTGTAGTTATTTTTTAAACTTATACTGTTTTGTAAAAAAGTGTTAAAAGCATTTAAAATCTTACTCGTGTGTACAATTGATCTTAAAAAGATATAGATTAAAGTATGCATTTTATTTAATGGTATTAAAATGGTAAACCTTTTGGTAGTAAAATGTCTCCATTCGAGCCATTATCAAACTAATTTAACAGTTCAACTCCAATGTCGGTTATACATATTTTTAGAAGTGGCCGACATGATTTTACCGGTTACTGCATGTTGCCAATTGTAAGATTTTAATTCGCTCTATAGTCCATACAGTTATGAATGGCCGATAAAAATTTGTAATTTGTTCTGCTCCGCCTATTAAAAACTTAAAACAAAACTGGTTACCTTACATCAACTATGTGATAACACTCATTGGTGTTCAGCTTGTCAAAAACTTAAAATAGATCTTTATGAAGACATGTAATCAGGCATTTTTTATTGTTTAAAGTAAAAAGTAAGAGTTGTATTATACAGAGTGTATCAGAAAGACCTGACAATTTAAAATTTGATACTATTTAAATGTACGATCATTTTATGGATACCAAATAATTTAAGTCTAACTTATGTCCAAAAATTCCAAAAAAGAATATTTTAAAAAATGAACTTCTTAACTTAAATAAATGTCATAAGTTTTTACCATCAATATTTTTCTAAAAATTATATTTTATGTATTAGCTATTTGGAATTTTTTATTTTTAATATTATGTTCTTACTATGTAAACGCCTATAAAATATTGATTAAAATAAAGTTAATAATTTAATATCATTTGTCAGGTCATACTGTTACACTTAATAAATCTACAAAAAAAGAGTTAGTTAGGTACCGATCATTCTCATACCTATTTGTTCCTTTAATAATTAATTTATTCCAGTTCTGATTTTTTAAATTTTTTTAGATACTTAAGGACCCTATTTCAATTTGGTTAATTTGTATGCCATTTAATGAGTGTCATGTTAGGATACAATCTTCTTTTCTCGGTTAAGAACCAACCTTTCTTATTGTAAATTGCTGCAGATGATTTTTTTGTAAATGTTCTAATAAAACTTATCTATATCAAAATGTTATCAGTCTTTTAAGAATTATTTAAATGTAGGTATATAGCTAGTAGCATAGTCCACAAACATGGTTTTACAAAAATATAAAATGGTTGTAATATTGTATCTAGTGTTTGAAATACTTGGGAAACTTTTTGAAAAACCTTGAAAATTACAAATGGTTTTATTTTTATTAAAACAGAAGCTATAGATGTGTTATGCATTATGAGTAATACTAGTATCAACTAATCTTAAATATAACCCAGATTTAAATTTTTATGAAAAGGGTGTTTATACCCTTTCTTGTAAAAATTGTATATCTACATTCTACACCAATGCTAATAATAATTAGTCATAGCTATGAGTATACCTAGATTTTAATGTTTTAATACTTGTACTAAGCCATTTCATACATTTTATAATATGGTCATAAATAATAATGTTCAATGAGTAGGTAAGTACCAAATAATTCAAGTTAACAGTAAAATCCATTTATCAAGAATATTATTAAAGCGGAACAAAATACAAATTGGTCGAAATGTGAATGAATAAATAGACACGAAAATACCTTATTTTTTTTCATTCAGAAACCAAGAACGGGTGGGAGCTGTATCACAAGAGTGCCACCTGTTTCCGTATCGTTTATTCACATAATGTAAGTTGTACATTGTTGGGGGCCTCTAACCACCTAGAAAAGCTGGTCCTCGGCACACATAAGGTATTAAATACCTAGGTGGTAGATTGTAGCCCATAAATATACAATATTAGGATGAAAAAGCATATAATAACCTGTTGTATCATGCATAACATGTATAATATAATGATGTACAGACGTACAGTGTACACCTAAAGGCTAAGACCTAAACAGGTTATAGTTAAAGAATTAAAGTGTTGCCGTGTTGGTCAAAACCCTTCATACATGAAATTAGTTTTATGTCGGTAGGAAATTTTTTTTATCCTATTTGATTTCCTTGGGGACATTTTTTTAGGTTTCCATATTATATAGGTATTCTTAAATACATTTTCCACTGTCACGAATCATGATCCCATTGAATTCCTTACAACAACCTCTAACATCAATCATAGTATTTTTAAAATAAAACATAAATTTACGAAACAATAGTCAAATTATATTAATACTCTATGGAGTGAGGACTGTAAGTAAACCATTTATAGTTGTACTGACTATTGATAGATATACAAAATGTCTATCAATATTAAATTTGAATAGGTATATACATTCGAAATTTACATTTTTGGTAGACACAACCTTCCCCCCCCCCCCTACGAAAAAAATGTCTAGTCACTCCCCTGACCCAACGCATGGCATCCAGGATAGGTTGTATTCTATCATCCTAGATTTGTTGTAAGTACCTAACTATAACTGATAAAAGTTAGTGTTAGTTATAATCACAGATAAAAGATTAAAGATGTTTCAATTTTCTTTAACATCAAAGCAGCATGTTTAATTGTAGTCGAAATGAAAACTAGGAAAGTGAATCTAAAAGGTAGGTACTCTGGAGCGTCAAAAGTAAAAAGTTCCTAATAGTTTTTAAGACGTCAGGAAAAACCAAGGACCTACGAGTATAAGTTTTATAGTTCGAAAAAATTGAAATCAATTTTTATTTCTAGTGGAACTCTAAAAAAAAAACCGTAGGAAGTAGGTATATACAATTTTCACTGAATTCTATTAGTAATATCTATGCATCACACAATTTTTGAATTATGCGCTATTTATGTGCACAATAGATTTAAATCAGAAAACATTCAAAATATTTTGACTCATTATGTTCAATGATTATGTTGAACAAGTTATAGGTATATACAATTTTGGATTTTTATTATTTTTTTTAAAATGAATGTCGATTAAAAAATTCGTTGGATCAAAAGCCTTGAAAATGTTATACCACGTTCGTCATACCGCATAGGAGATTAAAAATAATTATACTATTTGTCTCCTGGCTTGAATAAGAAAACCTAACAACGTATACTATACCTGTACACAATGTGTAAATATGCAATTCAGTTTACTCGAGTGTTATTACATTCAGTTCTGACTTTATAAGCATTTGCATTGCGAATATTATGACTTATGAGTTTAATTGTTTAATCACTGAAGTCTTACGTGTTAGTGTTGTCGGGATGTTAGCATTTTTGAACATAAGACATCTGATTGAATCGTTTCATGACGCACGGAAGAACACGCCAAAGAAATTGGTAAAATTATTATTGGTACTAAGTATTATAATTTGTTAAATTGTTAACATATACCTGAAGTATATCGAATTACCTAGGTTTGGTTTTTAGAATATTCCTTAATACTTCACGATCGTCACATTTTAATAATAATAATATAGGGTCGAACGATGCATCTATTCGATGTAGGTCGTTGGTACCATAAAATAATATGTGATTATTATTTATTCTTATGCTTAAGGTAAGCGTGAGTGAGAAATCATTAAACGCAAGTGTTCGAGTTAATTTAGATCCGGCAGCTAGTAGTATTGACATTGAACAGTTTCAAAAAGTGATAGAAATAAATCTGCAATTAGAAAATAGATTGACCGAGTTGGAAGGTAGTTGTTTCATAATAATATGATGGATACCTATCTAATATTAATATTTTCGAATATTAAACAAATATGTATCTAAAATAATCATTATTATGTAGAAATGATTCGACGCCGTGATGAAAAACAAAAGATTCAAGATCTAAAAGTAACTTACCTATTACCTATCTATTACCTATCTAAAAACCGCGACCGAGAGCGGCTAAACCACTCCGTGTGTAACCAGCTTTACAAGTGCATAACATATACAAATCAAATGTTACATTCAGCAGTAAAGTAACTTTAAGTTACTAGTAAAGCTTCGCTAGCTTAAACATTAGAATGAATTGAACTCTTATACAATTTGCATCTTAGATTATTATCTAGGACATCGCATAGGCTTTTTTTTTATTAGATTACTATCTTAGCTTTAGTTTTTTTTCACTTTAATTTCTAATATCCCAGACCTAAACGTGATCTGCTAAGCATACAACTGCAGTCTATGTTACGCACTTGGAAGATGAAGACAATACACGTGGGTACCTATACGTCCTCTTAACTCAATTAAAAATGATCATAGACTTGACCAGTTCTAAATTAATTTATAACCTAAGTAAAGTATTATTTTATTTCGCATTCTGCAGTTGCGTCGGCTTGAAGATCTTATGTCATCGAAGTTGACACAATCTGCACACACTCAGACCGAGAGCGAATTTTCCCTATCCACGGTGCAAGATTTAAACAACGAGGTAGACAACAAATTGTCAAATTTGAAACAATCGTTGATGGAAAAAATTGACGATGAATTCATGACCATCGGCCGTGACGTTAAAAGTGTCAAACACTGTTATGGAATGTTGAATACCAGTTTACACGAGATGGAAAATAAATTGATTTCATTAGAAAGTAATTAGTAATTTTTATCTAAAACACGTATGTCATTATCATATATTATATATTATGATTTATGATGTTTTTTTTGTATAAAGGTAACTCGGAGAAGCCGATACGCAAATATAACAATATTAAGACTAGGATTGCAACCCTAGAAAGTATGATATACATTGTCTATGTAATATTGATGTATACTGCATGAATCAATTTTATAGTTTTTACTTGACAAATTTTTTTTTATGTGTACGATATGTATGTGTGCAGGAGATGTAATGAAAAACACATCACACATCATCGGGATGAACTATTCGCATCGTCCGTTGGAATGGACTGGACCACAATCCTTCGGGTCCGCTGGAATGCTTTCTTCCGATAACCGCTGTTACGGCGAACCAGCTGCAGCATTCGCTACAGCTCCATCTTTCTATGATATGCCACCAATGGCAAAACCCGGGCAGAGTGTAGCAGTTTTGCCTCCATCGCCACCTGCACCCCCGGCGCCAAGTGCATTTGTGCCTCCGCCGCCACCTGCACCCCCGTCGACTAGTATAATTTGTCAACCACTGCCACCCGCACCCCCGGCGCCGTTGTCTCTGAATGCTCCGAAGAAATCGGATTTAGACAAATCCCAAGGAATTCCGAGGATCCTAATAACCACCGAGATACTAAAATCTGTTGTACTCAAGCCACCTGGCGAGAGGAAGAGAATTAGCAAATCCGTGACGATATAATCGCTGCGGTATTTTTGAAAATTATGTGCCTACCGCATACCAAAAATATATATGTAATTGTTGTTAACAAATATATAATTCATAGAAGTTGTCAATCATGGTATCATTGTTAACAAAATAAAAAACGGGTAATTGTGTGTCACTCTACTGTACAGAAGGTTACAATTTACAAGTACACCCATGGGTCACTGTAATGGATGGTGTTAAATTTGAATCCGATGATATAATATTATAATATACGAAAAAATAATTCTGAGCGGAAACAGTTTGTCCGAATAGGATATTTTATATTATTTTTATATTTTTACTAGCTGATCCCGTGCACTCCGTTGCTCGTTGAAAATGTTAAATCTATATATGATACTGGCTTGTTATAATGCGAGCAGTACATTTTCAGGTTGGATACTATATTATATTATTATTATCGTACCGCAAGCTAGGCGTATACTCTATATTATGAATAATATATTTTATTTTTTATTTTGACTGTGGATACGCCGATGAGCGGCTATAAATGCGACCCTGCAATCTTAGTAGGAAATGTGTGAAAATTCGATTTGTCATTTGTTATTAGTTTCTTTTTTACCAATAACTAATATAGGTAACGCATTTGCTTGGATATTCAGATAAAATTAATTGTTTTTTTTTTGGCTAAACTAAATAATTATAATGATTGTGTATTATTCCATGTCGATACCGACCTGTTTTGGAACATCTGTGGTTGCCGAGTTTGATTGTTATTTATTTTCAGCCAGCGACTATTTCTTACTAAAAAAAGGTATAGGTATGCAATTTACAAGTTTATTTTAATTAATAATAACTAATTATTTATTAACTTTATCGGACTAAAAGTATGCCTAACACCTTCTCTGTGATGTACTCTTTGATTTTAAAAAAAATGCACGACCATCCATTAAGTAGTTTTCTCGGTTAGCGCGGTCGAAGAAAACCCCTTGCAATTTTATATAATAGTAAAGATTATTAATACGATAGTCGATAAGTTGAATTATTATTAAATTTAAATCATCATATTTGAATATAAGAATATATTTTAGTAGTTTCAAGTACTACCCACGAATAATATTTTTTAATTACAACAAAATAACTAATATCGTTATTCTTGGTTATATGTAATTTCATCGAAATTTGAACTTAAAATAACTGTACAAAACACTGTGTTTATACTTTTTTGGTAACTCTTCAGTAGCTCTTTAATAGCTCTTTAGTCTTCAGTATAACCTTATTACAAAAGTAAATTCGAAATAGTTACAACTTCTAAAAATAATAGTTTCGAAAAAGCAATTTTTGTATCATAATTTTAACCATAAAAAACAAGTGTTTAAAAAAAAATTAAAATAATAGGTGGGACAGTAAAGTTTATTTGTTTGTTTCCATACTATGTCTTATGTAGCACCTCAAAACGAATACAAACAGTATGTATATAATAATAATATGTATTATGTACTATACTACTATCATCTGCCCTACTTTGATAATGTACCTACATGCTACATACAAATTTAATACACGACAATACAAACTAGTAGCATGCTCAGCTTGTGTGCCAGACGTTTTAAAATATTTATTCTTATAAGTGATTCCTTCCGGATAGACGTGAGATGAAATATCCACGTGTTTTTTGAATTGAACAGTACGCCTATATTTTAAAGGAGTTTTTCGTTGGAATTGGGGGATTGTTGATTGATATGGTGAAAATGATGCATTGGGATTTATCTACTAAAAAAGAGAAACCTGAAGCAAGAGTCGAGGCTTGTAGTCCTGATATTGCTTCATGCAGGTAGTTTATAGTTCTATTCGGATTGATAATTGTATTGTAGTCAAGTAGTAGGTACCTACTGTGTACAACAACAACATTACGGGCGGCTGTAAAACATCTAGCAGTGATGTAGCCTGATGGGACAAACGTACATATTTTCAATAATTATTGTGGAGTTTAGCTTTAGACTGAACACGTCATATCGTACGCTTACCTTAATGTTACGCTTAATGTTATGTACCTAACTATTAAACTATGTAAATATTTAATAGATACACCGAACCAAACCACGCTCGCAGTGCTGCGTTTATTTGAAATATTAATTACAGAAATAAACTAATATTCTATTATAAATTCAATATTAAAAAATCAAACACGGATGAAGTAATTAAAAAGACTACAATATTTAAAAGCAAGTAAGTTCGACATAAAGAAAACGTAAAAACGTTAGTCCGAATAACGTTAGTTATTTGCAAATGTTTTATGATACATATAAGTTCATTGCTTATTTTTAATCATGAATAATTATGATTAATGATATACATATTGTTTACCTAATATCATATTCGATTTTTTCCGTTCATTTTTTTTTCATTTTTTTTCGTTATAACGTTAAAAATAACGTCTTGAAGCCCTGAAAAGTAAAAACTAGATTCAATTTGTTACCAGAAAACCACTTGAAACCACTAGAACTAATGATACATTTATCGCTCATTTACTACGTATTACGTGTCTACGTTATTCGGAATCTAAAGCTGAGCTTTTATAATTATGAATGCATTATTAATGTTTGTTATACTCAATTATAGAATATAATTATCATACCCATATAAATATTTGTGATAGCCTCCGATCAAATATTCAAATGCAGTGAAACCAGAAACCGTCAACAAGATATTATGTTTAAATTTAAAAAAAACTTTCAGATTTGTATTTTGTAATACTATTTAATTTTTATACAACTATAGCATATCAATATTACACTATATTTGCATAAATCTAACATCGTACCATGTACATTAGCACAGATTATACAAGGATAATTATTTATTAAATTGTTATACTGTTAAACTGTTAGTAAATTTGTTTAAACCACGAAATAAAACTCAAATATAATAATAACCCGTGTGAATTCATTCTCTGTAATGTTGTCAAGGAGAATGGAAATTGGAAAGCTATACCAGACAGGAACAGCTGATAAGAACCTAAATTGATTGTTTATTTGATAAAGGCTATCAAGCGGCGTTGGGTGAATTACAGTGAATGGCCATAGTGTGCTACTGTGCAATACATCATAATCTTTTTCCATTTCCACACATTTTCACTTCGCTCCTCCTACACTTATTGACACTGCTACCGGTCGTGTTAGTCTAATGACCACTGCGGAGGACTTAGGATTGTCGGATTCGGACAAGGTTCAACCTTGGAGCACAGACAGCGGCATGGAATCGATGACTGACAGCAATAAGGATCTAACACCGACGTCTGAAAACTTCGATGACGATGAAGAAGTTCGTTAATACACTTATATAATATATACTATTGTAATCAACATTGCGTTATTCGACCACTCTTTTGTACATATTTTTTACCATGTGTAGGATGAAACTTTGGGTGAACGCCTATGGGCATTAACTGAGATGTTTCCAGAGTCTCTAAGAAACAGCACCAAAAAGATAGTTAATACCACTGGTAAAGTCATCTTAGGTAAGATACTAGTTTGTATTCATCACAAAATATCGCCAACTAATTCAAAACAATTTACAGAAACTTACTTATTTGCTTGTACTTCAACATGGTATGTCTCAACAACAGCGGCTCTGTTGCTTATGCCCGTATTATTTGAAACTGAACGCATACAAATGGAAGAAGCGCAGAAAAATCATTCAAAACAAGTAAGTGTCTTAATTACATATTTATTACTAAATAAGTATATTTTTAAGTTTGATAATACATTTTTGTTTTGTTTTAGCTTCTTCTTGGTCCTGGTAGTGCTGGAAACTTGGGTGGTGGAACTACTATGTTGCCCAATTAATATATTTTCGTCGTATGTTATATTTTTAACCTATCTACCTTAGTTTTGGCTGAAAAAAATATTTGTATTAAATTCACGTAGTCTTGGAATTTTATTTTTATTACTTTTTTTTTACTAGGAATAAGTGAATTTAATTTAAAAACATAATAAAGACACTTAAAAAATTATATTTATTATGAAACTTGTTTACAAATCTGAATAATAGATAATTATGTCATTTAAACGTGTTTGAGTAGTCCTATATGTATGTCACAACTCATTTAACAAGTTGTATTAATAAAAATGTATATTATAATTTGAAGATTTAATTCCTTTCAACATTAAGAAAAAATTAATTTTACCACATTTTTTTATGAAAACAAAAGTGATAAGTGTTTGTTATACATATAATAATGATATTTTTTCTCTGAGCTATTGTCTACAGACAGCTCAATAATGTTAACCTGTAAAATTGTATGTAAGTTAATTAAACAATTTTATTTGCAGTACATGTGTAAGTAATTTTTTAATTATTGCTAGCTTACTTATTATTTTTACATGTGTTTAAAACTAAAAAAAATAATCCTTGATAGACATTTATCATTTAAATGTGTGAAACGCAATTATTTTTATAAGGACTAGCTATGAGTTCAACAACATGATGGATCGCTTACCATTTACTAATGAGCTATTTTACCACTATTTCCGTATGTGCTCATGGAGAGTGAATTGTATATGTGAATCAGTGTCAACCTTAGCCTTCAGTCGTGTTTGTGTAAGAGGACTATCAGGCTCTAAGATTTATAAAATATGTTGTGTAACTACCATAGACATACATTCCCATAGGGACGTTGAAGTCAAGTGGCCATATGTGAACAGGGTAATGTTTACAAAATCACTCAATATATAATATATTTATACACATTTATGTGGTATATTTGTATATTATCAACCATACAATTTTGGCCTTTGGCATATGGCTGTCCGACTTCATTATTATCCTGTAGTCGGCTAACTAGTTGTTTTATATGTCTATGGTAACTACCGATTGTTTTTGGAATACGTCATAGATTAAATACACTTATATTGTTTAGATAGTTAACTAATGAGCACTACAGTAAAATAATAAAATATAATATAAAATCATTTAGTTTTTGAGTGAGTAAGAAATGTATACACTAATACACTTATTGCTGAAAACTTAAATATTTATTATAATTCATAATAATTAATAACTTTGTTATTACTGCTATAAAAGCAGTATATTCCCACATCAATTCTAATTATTTGTAAAATAGTTATAATTTTTAATTAAAATGAATCATAACAATTTTGATTCATAAACAAAGTATAATATAAAAATAAAATAAGTAACTGGTCAAAATTTAAAATTATATGTCCATCTAATTTATTATTTGTTATTTATTGTGCCAGTTTGTAGGTCTAATCTATTGAAGACGATAAAGCAGAAGATTACTTAGAATTCTTCACTACATAAGGTATTAGAAAAGGACTTGTTAGGAAGACTTTGTTTGAGTGTTTGAGACAAGAAGACTCAGTTCAAAAAAGATTGCTGGAGGGTTGGATGTTTGACTTGAAGGTTCTAGTGGCTGCTTGCCTGAAAAAGAATTTATTTTGCCACAACACTATGCTTGGAACGTTACCTAAAAAAATTAATTCATTCACGTTCAGTCCTTAAAAAGTGAACTTATTCACATTCATGTTTTTTTCAAATGAACACGTCCACACTCCACATTCACATTCATTAAAAAAATGAATGTGTTCACTAGGTTGTTCATTTAATTTTTTATGATAGGAATTAAAATAAAAAAATATTATATTATAAAATTAATCAATATATTTTAAACATTATCATATTTATTTAATGACAAATAAATTGAGCATCTTAAAAATTGTTCAAATCTATTAAAATATAAACTCGTTCAAGTTTAATTTAATAAAAACAATTGAAGTTTGAGTGTCGTTCACTAATAAACATGAACGACATTCTTTCTTAACACTGCACATCATCTATAGTTATCTGTTTATTTGTAAAACTAAAACAATACAATTATTAATAAATAATTAATACAATACAACATTATTTATAAGCATTGCAAATAATAGCTGCTTTTCACAAACAAAATTACGAAGAGAAAAATTATGATTACATAAACTTAAATAAAACGTAAACAAAAAACAGATGAAAATGTATCCAAATAGCTGTAAATTTTAATTAATTTAAATGTGAAACTTTTTCAATTTTAGATAGTATTGGATTTAAGTGTAAATAAATAATAGGATAATTGGTTTGATCACACTATCCTAAAAGTTTCTTTGTTTTTGAGGCCATTAAAACATTACCGTGTGTATGTTGGCTGGATTGGATGAACAAATTAACCATTATTAAATTAAAACAGTTTCCTGGACTATGTGAAAGTTTCTTACCACAAATTCCTAATCATATTGTAGATTGTAACCAGAAAATGAAGATTTTGAACAAGAACATTGAGTATTATACTATTCTTCATAAACAAAAACAAATTTAAAAAAAAAACGTGAGCCATTTGTTTTCAAGTATTTAAGCTTGACATTTAAAATCAAATTTTGTTAAATTTAACACTGCTATCTTGTAGTATTATCACTCTATGACAGTATTTAAATAATATTATATTCTTGTAAGAAGTAGATGATGTAAGAGTGATTTTAATGACAAAATAAATAAGACTAAAAGTTACTATAAAATAGGTAATGTATTATATTATCAACAGTGTTATTGTCATTGTCTAGTTATTTATCACTTACAAATATACACTATTAAATGTTCTTCTTTTAATTAATAATTAGAAATGAAAAATTAAAATATTGGTGCCATGTCCCCTAATAAAGCATAGCATGTGTCCCTTTAATTGATTTCTTTTCACCTTGTCTAAATAAAATACCTGCAATAGTTAATTATATTTATAAAATATTTTTTTTTTTGACACATTTATTTAATTTGTATAATCTGCATAAAAATATTCACAATAAGCACAATAGAGGGATATATAGCAGGTCATCGGTCATGGTTGACTTGATTGAGGAAGTTATTTAATAATAATATGACGGGATGGTAGTAGATAGTGGACTAATTTATAAATATATAAAATTCTATTATTATGCAATATTATACATTGGAAGCATATCGGAAATTGTACCACACATATTTGTTCACAATTTTTAGCCTCAGAGTCCTCCATAAACCTTCCAACTTATGACGCATTGAGTATGTGCATTAAATACCATCATTGTAATAACGTGGTAGAGCGCATGCAATTAGGCCCGTAACCACTAGTAGAATCTATGGTTGAGTGTATAGAAAAGGCAGCTCATTTAACGACATGTCACCTAAAATCATTAATGTTTGTAGAAAAATATGTATTTACTGTCAAAAATTGTTCGACACAATAGCAATTATTTCAAATCAATTAAAAAAAATGCTCACATAAGGACCATGACTAATTGTTTTATTCTTTATATCAATATTCAATATTATACAAATAGTATTATTTTATTTTACACCTGGCTCATAATTAATTTTTATAATAAAATTAATAGATTATATTCTGATAAGTTTTTCAAGGCCTTTATATGTTTTCTTAAATACGGGGCCCCTTAAATAAAAGGCTCCTGAGGCTTTTGGTGTACCAGGCAGAAACTGGAGTGAAATAAAATAACAATTTGTTCAAACCATTTTCTTTATTTATTGATAAGTATTTAGTAGGTATAAATATAATAACTCACAAAACAATTTTTTAAGTAATTTAATTGATTTCAAACAGTAATTCATACTTAGTTTCAAAAAAATTGAATAGTCCATACATTGCTGCATAGATCACATTAAATTAATTTATAGCCATGCTTGACTCTACCATAGTTTCTAGATCTGGCGGCGAAGTATATTTAATTTTCTTCTTATTTTTCTTATTTTTCCTTAAGAACAAAAATAAAAAATATATTGATTTGTCAGTAATGGTATAAAATAAATAGTCCTTTTATTATTACTTATTTCCATAATGCTGCAAGAAATTCTTTGAGATATTATGAATTTCTTTACAGTGAATATTTCGTGTTTCACAATCCCAAAACTGTGTTGGACATGTTTCAATGAAACATTTGAACTGTAATTGTATATAAAAAAATTAATCAAAATATTTTAAATAAATATTAATACTTTGAGTAATACCATTGGTTTTTTAACACAGGAGGCTTCAAAAAAGTTATCATGTGTTTCGCTCACATGTAAATCCAAGAGATGTGCCGATTGTAAGAGCTTACGACAGATAATGCAAGTGTAACGATGATTTGCATTATAATGTAAATCGTAATCAGGTATCGATGTGAAATATGAAGTACAACCATTCACATTGCATTGAAAACTATCAGTAGATCTGAAAGTTATTTTAGTTATGGCCAGATTTAAAATGCTATTCAATAGAAAAAAATTGTCTACCTTTGTTCATCGGGTTGTTCAAGAATTTCAAAAACTCCTACTCGTCTATAAACTTTCAACGAATCGTCGACTGTTTTGAAAAGATCATCGACTACATGTTTGTGCCCTGTGCCAAGATCAAGTAATTGTTGAAGTCTCTCCATGCTTGTCATAACTTATATGATTACAAATATAGCGTTATTCTACTTGAAAGTTCTTTTATTATTAATTATGACAAACTATAAACTATAATTCAAACCGGTGTTTTCTTTTATAAATTAATATACAGTGAATACTGAATAGTGTATAGTGTATATACCAATAATACCATACTATCACAGAATATATTATTTACCATGGTCTTAGAAGATAAGGTCGGGACTCTACTTATCATTGTATCCGTTTACATTGGACATTTTAGTACTTATTTAATCCGCTATTTTCATAGCGCCTCTGTTCCAATTTTCTGAATTCAACTATTTACCAACTTCTTACCATCGAGTTCGAGTAGTGGCATGCATAACCTTTTGTTCCAAGAAATGTTTGTTCCACAAAATATTTGTTCCGAAATACTTATTCCAAATGTGGAACAAATATTTATGGAACAAAGTTTATTGGCACAAATGATTTATGGAAACAAATGTTTTATGAAACAAAAGTCCAACGAAACAAACAGTGCCGCAACTAGTGATAAAAGGGCCCAGGTGCAAGTCAAATTTTGGGGCCCCCTATTTCAAAATTTTTTGTCTTACAAAATTGCATAGCACCAAAAGCGCGATTATGGGTAGGCTTACAACTCCCTGATAGCAAAAATTCCCTGAAAATAATAAAAACACATAATTTCCTGTCTCAGCTAGGGAGCTAAACATTTTTTATTTTAGTTCTCCAAATAATACCTATACATATTGCATTACAAGTACAATTTTAAAAAACAACAATTTTTATCACTTTATTTAAAATAGGAAGTTCCTGTTTTTGATATAATTTTATTTACAAAAATAGATTAAATAATTTATGCATATAGGTTCCCTTTTAAATGTAAATCTTATGTGTTTTTATCTAAGTTTATATTTTTTAATTTGTATAAATAAAACATTACATTAGGTACCTTAATAAAGTTTATTACAATAACATTCATATTATACTACTAATGTAAAATGAATAAAATATTAATTATATTATTCACTAACTGAAATAGAAAATAAAAATAAGTACCTACAAATATTTTTTTAATCATTTTAGGAAATTATTTTTCCTAGCTTTATTATGAGCAAAATCGTTAATTATTTTTTCAATATTTAATTCTTATGTTTTCTTTTTTTCAATGTTCAGTACAGCAATGTGTGATAAACGTTTTTGGCTAGTAGACTTCCTCAAGTAATATTTTATAAGTTTTAATTTTGAAAAAGAGCGCTCTGCAGAAGCTACAATCACTGGTAGTGTTAAAAAAATAATGCATGCAGTCATAATGTCACTATAAACTGAACAAAGATCATTTTCTAAAAAAAAATACTTAGATCTCTTATGGTCTTCAACTTCATACTTTTTAAATTTTCTTTAAGTGATAACAGTTGTTGAGGGAAATCAGAACTTATGTCGTTTTGATAAAACTTAACAAAGTCATATGCATTTTTTGTGAATTCTGATTCTTCAGAATTTAGTATCATACCAGAAGTTAAAAATTCAAAATTATTGCATACACTGTCTTCACTCCTTTAAACCTTCCTTGTAATTGTGACAATGCAGTATCAATAATAGGTAAGAACACTGTCACTCGAAAATTGTCTTCAGTAATATCAGTTCTTCTATCCTCATCTACATGATTAATTTCATCAAAATGTTTTTTGGAAAACACTGGACAACGGCTTTTAGGTTGAGTTGATAATCCCCATTTCAAACACAATATTTTTGATGAAGCCACCATTTCATCATAATTTGTTCTCAAACTTTTAATTGATCTGACACAATTTTCAAGTAACTCACAAGCTTGATGAAGAGTAGTATTTGGAGCCTGTAATAATTAAGTTTAAAAATAATTTCATAGGATCGTAGCCCTTAAGAAACCCGGTATTTTTATATATTGTTAACAGTATCATAGACCATCGATGGACGGCGAAAAACGTATCACTTATAAATTGTCATATTACTATTAATTATAATTATTATTTCTATTTTAATAGCCAGTGTTTCTTGATATCTATAAATATATGTAGAATAGTTGTTTCTTACCCTTATAGTCTTAATACATAGTAATATTACAATAAACATAAATTAATAATTTATTTTTTTTAAATTTATTAATTCTTGTTACTCTATATTTATAGGAACATAACATGGGTTATTCAATATTGAACGCTCATGGCCATCAAATAAGAGCTCACATTAATTAATAACAATTTTTATTTTGTTTTGCTAATAAATAGATTATGTTTTTAAAATCTTCAAATTTTATTCATTTTAAATTTACTTTATTGATTTTTAATTATTAAAGTTAGAAATCGTGGTTCATGGTTCTCGTCATTTATTATAAAACGTCAGGTCGATACATCAAAAACATTTTTCGCCAACAGACTGTTTCAATCCTTTGCGGACTTTTTCTCATTTTGGTGCCGGATCCTGGAGTCATGTCACTATTGTCACTATAATGGAATTACTGGTAAAAGGAAAATTGTAAAAAATAAAATTGATTTAATTATGTTTTGATTCTTATTACTTTTATTTATCTTGTAACAAACGCTTAATATAAATTTAAAAATATTAAAATATATTAACCTTTTTGTCTTTTTGTTTAATTAAAAAAGAAGACATATCTTATTGCTATAGTTGACTTTTGTACCAATGTACATGTCTTTTTTTTACTCTTTCACATGTAAAATTACTTATGGTTTTATTTTTGTTGAGCTAGGGGTGCTTTTAATTTTTTTTGCCAAATCTTTGTGCACTTCCGATCTATTTACACGGCGTACATATGCTATACATATAATGATCATGTTCATAAAAAACTGCTCCGGATAATATATATCTAAAAATTATTTAAAACAATTAATTAAGTAATATATTATTTTGAAATAATTATATACAATACCTGTTATTGTCAATTGTCAGACTACACTGCAAGTCAGCCAATGAGTACTCTTGATATTCAGCAATTTAATCTGTTTCTATAAATAAATGATTTACTAGAATTGTCATTACATTTAAAAATCCCAAACAGTTTAGTTCTGTGCATTTATTTTTTTTACTTCACTGTATTCTTTCAAACTAAACTCCATATCATTGAGATTGCTGAATGATGATTTTAAAATTTTTGTTGGACTTGGTATAGTTTTCGACGTAGCACAGTTGAAACACAGTCGTTTTTCAACGGCGGATGGCACACTTTAAAACCACGAAAATTATAAGGAGTTGTGAGTTATATATAAAAAATAGGTACATAAAACTGAGAGTAAGCTGCATTATTATTTTCTTTTTTAGATGGGGTGAAATTTGTGAAGTTGAAATTTCAAACAATTTTTCAAAATATGCAAAAACGTAAAAATAAGCGGTTTCCGGCAAAATATATATGAAATATGCAAATTATGCACATTCAAATTTTAGATTTAGTATGAATTTATTTCGCACTCTGCTACATTTCGCAATAAATAAAAAAAAGTATGCAAAAAAGTCTCGAAAAAAAAAAGTCCCGAACCTTGGTCATAAGGTTTTTTCCCCCGTCACTTACCTTTATGTGAGAGCCTTAGTTACGTACCTACACGGCTGTATATATATTGCATTATTTATTACACTATAGTGTAGTAGTATAATATAATCACACAATTTTTTAGCAAATACTTCACACTATTATAGAAGAATATTGTTTGATAACATATTAATGCCGAGTCTAGAGAGAATATTATATTCACGATTAAAGTATCCATTTTTTTTATTACTTCTGTAAATTTCAAAGCCTAATTTTGAATTTTTTTCATGTCTTGACACTTCTAGAGTTTTATATTAAGTAATAGATTATCCGTTAAGACTAAAAACAATATTGTGAGATGCCGGACAAAAAAATGGACTCGCGACAGTAGTGTATCTAAATAGAAAGTAGTAATCACATTTATTTGCAATAAGATTTTTATTTATAAACTCATAAAAAAATATGCTTGTGCTTCGAATATTTAAACACCACCTTAATTAATTATTAAAATAATTGGTTCTTTACATATTGTTGTAATTTAAATTTTAAAATTATTAACTATTTTGGTTATTGTCATAAATAATTTCATTATATTAATGATCAAATCTCAAGCACGGACCTCCTTGATATACAATTTTCTAATATACTATGTATCTATGGTTTTATCATATTGACGTAGTATAAATTATAATGCAATCCGTGTCGTTTGTCGAAGTAGTTGCAAAGTCGCAATCGATCTAAAATTTCAGTTAGAAAAGCTGCAGACATGAACAAGAAACATGAAGCGATCCGTACGGTTTTTTTTTCATAATAAATCTCAATATTTTCAGACTTAAGTTCAGTCGTATATCTGATTTATCCCGCAGTGCACACACAATATCTGGAATTCTGCCGAAGCCCGAAAGCGTCGATGTTTAAAGTAATTAATTTTGGTTTCATACTTTTTTGGTACTTAAATTTATTTTTTAAATAAAAATTTAATTTCATGAACAATATGCTACCCCTATGTACACACATATTATTTTATTTCTGAGAGCAAATGCATAAAATACGAGAGATCAAATAATATACAAACGCCGCTCGTCGTCGTCGTTTTTCTGCTCCCTGATCGTAGGATAATTTTATAATTATAACCTATTTTAAAGTACTTGAAATAGACATTCATTATACTTTTTAATTTAGAAATACCCGTTATGAGTGATTACTCATAAGACACAATTTTAATTTATAACTTATAATTTTTTTTAAATCCAAAGTTAGCAGTTACAGGACACTAAAGCTTGAAAATTCAATAAAACTCTCCTGATAGATATTTATAATATATTATTTAAAAAGATATTTAAAATACATATGTACGATTTTTGTAATGAGCATTTAAAGTTTAAATTTTAACAAAATTCACATCATTTAATCTGTACAAATAATTTTATAATTTCAGATTTTTGAAATATTCAACTTTTGTAGGTTAGGGTTGAAAAATTCAAAACAAAGTTCCAAGCAAGTAGGTTATTCTGTTATTAAAAAATCAAAAAAATATTATCACAGATTTTTTATGTTCAAATGTGAACTAAATTAAAGATTCAATTGATAAGAATAATGATTTATGTTATTTTACTGTAAAAATATTATTCGTGGGTACTTG